CCGAGGTTCCAAGCACGCAGCTTGATCAAGTCTGCCGCTGCTTCTTTCAAGCCCGCCTTCGCCTTTGCCACTTCGGCCTGCTCAGTGCGACCATGGCTGAGACAAATGCCTGCTGGAGAACACCTTCCTGCACGGACAGCAGTATACACAGGAAAGAGCAGCACCACGGATCAAAGGCACATAGAGCACTGCCTCTTTCTGCTGTGTTGCCGTCTTTCGGAAATCTGCTGCCTCGCGGCCCGCTGCGTTTCGTGTCAGATAAGACGAATTGAACCCTAGACAACACAGATACATTCACCTTTACAGATACATTCACCTTTGCTTTGAGCGCGTTGCACGAGCACACACTCTCATTTCTTTCGCCAGGGCTAGGGGCACACACTCTCCTCTCCTCCTCTCTCTCTTGCTTGCCTGCCTTGCGGTGCCTTGCCTTCCCGTGCCTTCCCTTGCCTTCCCTTGCCTTGCCTTGTGCTGCCTTGCCTTGGCCTTGCCTTGGCCTTGCCTTGCGTTGCCATGCGTTGCTTTGAGCTGCGCTGCGCTGCGCTGCGCTGCGTTGCGTGGCGTGGCGGGGCTCGGCTGGGCTTGGCTTGGCTGCCTGATACCACGACAAAGCATGAATTTCCGCTCTGTAAAGTGCAGCAGAGTCCAGCTTGCAGGAGTTGACCCGGCAATGCTGAAACTCACTGCTCTGTGCAACGGCCGTGCCGCGCCACTCGTGTTCTTGTTTCCCCGCAACCATCTGGATCTCCCGCTGTTCGTACTCAGTCTTGCCATTCTCGACAATCACCTCGTGCAGGCAGGCGACAAAGGCTGAAGAATAAGGTTGAATTCGCTCCTTGCGGAAATCCCTCAGAAGCCGGAGAGCACCAGCAGGTGTGAGCCCGCCCAAGTTCCGGGTGATGGCATGCATGTTCCCCCGGTGGGTGTCCTGCACCGCGGAATGAAAACCTTCTGAGTCTTCTCAGTTCAAGGCCTTTTTGAGCTCAGCCCACTTGGAGGTCAGCGAGCTCAACGATAGTCCCATCTGCCTTGCGAGTGTGGGGAGAGAAATCCATCCCACACCGGCTTTGTCTGCATCTTCGGGAGCTTTCATGACGGCTGAAGCAATCCTTGTCCGGGCATACCATACATTTCCAAAATTCAACCTCGAGTTGCCGTCTAGCCCCCGCCTCCTCCAAGACGAGGCATTTGACTTTGCCAGGAAATTTATCCTCTGCGTCGGCGTTCTCACTCCTAGCCGGCGACGAGAATCATCCACTCCTCCTGAAGAATGCTCTCAGTAACGTCGATGTATAGTGTCACGTTGCACAACGAAGGGATACTTTACGACCCGATGATCACGCGGCGGAGTCGCCGAAATCGGTGGGGTAGCGACTGTCGGAGCCCTCCACTCGCCTCGAAGAGTGATCACGAGGGGGCGCAGTCCTGACTATCTCGCTGCCCAGAACCCCCGCGATGATCAACGCAAAGACGCAAAGTTCCCCTGCTCGATGAACAGCAATCGCGGCAGAGTCCCCCTAAGAGAAGGAAAAGAGGAGAGAAAGGAGAAGAGCACGGGGGCAGGACGGCCTCGGTCTCCCTTGAACCACTCACGGCCTTGAGCCAAAAATGGCTACTTCTCTCGCTCACTTGCTTGCTTGCTTGCTTGCTTGCGTGGGGTATGAGCCCCCAAAGGAGCCCTGGCCCGAAGGCCTGCCCCTGAGGTTCGCGTCTGTTGGCGGCGTGGCCCCGTTGGGGGGTTGAGTGGCTTCCACGTTCCCCGAATGTGCCTGTAACCCTCTCTTTCTTTCGGCAGGGCTATGGCTCTCTCTCTCTCTCTCCCTCTTTCTCTTGAGGGCTTTCCGCTATGTTCCGCTCCTATTTCAGGGGTCAGGATGGGGCACATACCCCAGCATTCACCCAAATCTCTCTGCCGAGACGGACCATTGTGGACACCAGCTGGCAGTGTTGAGTACAAGATAAAGCCTGGTGCCGGGGGGTCTGGCCTGCTGCATGGCCTGAAGCATGAGGTCACCCTGCAAAGGCCAGCCATCGTTGAGCGTGACAATTCTGTTGAAATGCCAGGCTCCTTCGTCGGAAGAGCCATGCCGGCGGAAGGCACGCGAAACGAGGTCTTGAAGGAGTTGCGTAGCAGTCCTGGCCAGAACAGCTTCGGCTTAGCGGCAGAAGTATACATCTAGAGTCTAGACGTGAAGACTCCCAGAGCTTGGTCACAGCTTCCTTCTACCCGTGTGGTCGCACCAATCGCAACGAACAGCTGCTGGCAGACCTGTTGCATCTTGCCGCTTACCAGTGATACAACGCGTCTACAGGCAGGTCAAGAAATCGGCACCCCATAAACCCCACTGAGGTACGATATCAGTGTCGAGTGTCGCTGTAGCAGCCACAACACTGCAAACGTGCCAACTCGCTTCGCTACGTGAATCTCATGTCAGTGCCTGGTCCGGCCGGAGAAGGAAACGCTTCACAGGGTCGAGCATCCTGGAGGCACCGCGAGCTGTGTCTCTGCCCTCAGCATGCCTCAAAGGCATTGTCTAGAAAAGCCCCTTGTCAGCTTAAAACTGCTCTAAACTGCATCACAACCTTGAGAAGGACCTCGACTTTTCGCCCAGCCTCTGCATCTGCTCCTTGGACATTTTGGCCGGCGCCGGGCCGGAGGTGGGCGGCTCACCCCATTTGGGCGGGTCCGGGATAGTCGGCATCATGGTGTACCTTGGAAACTGTCTTCATGTGTTTTTTTGTATGTCGGCGCAAGCATTTTTTGAAACGTAGTGATGAACATATTCCTGAGCTCGTGACGTCGGTGGCATAGTAGGCGAAAGCTGACCAAACGTTGGCTTTGGCAGTGCCCCGGCCAAAACCATCGGCGGTTGGTCTGGCAGACGCTGAGTGCTTGTTCTGACGACACAGCACAGAATCCAGTGCATTCAGACCAAGGTGCCGCCTACTGCAAGGCACTGCAAGGTGCAAGTATGGGAAGCATAAACAATTTAAGCCAGGCATGCCCGGGGGCGGGGGGTCTGGGATGTTGCGCAAAGCGAGGCCGAAAAGCTTTCCTAAGAGGCACGTTGCATTTCATGTTCATTGCATCTGGAATCTGGGCACCTGGAAGGTGAAACCATCTGGACGCTCCGCGGGCACACAGACTCTGAGCGCACTGCCGATGCCGATGCAAGTGCGCTCTGACCAGTCCGAGCGCCCTGACTGCCATGTTGACACACGATATCGACCTCATAAGAATGCATTTTTTTACATCCGACACCCGTCAGGAGAGCACCTATTTTCCGACATCTGCAACGAAGCCCTATTGGAGCGCTTTACGCTCGATGTTGAGTTCCACAGCTGGAGATCTCGCCGACCCCCGAAACTTCTCTGCACATTTTGTGCAACATGTCGCTCCACAACTGCGCGAACCAGACACATAAAACTGTGCTCTCGAACTGGCTCGCCAGTCCCTCAGGGAAGTGGTAGCATAATTATGCAGCTCGGCTTGGCTGATGTATTGAAGACTTCTCAGATGCTTCGGCAAAGGGAAGGTTAACAAGGTAACGATATGCCACAGCTGTCAAACCGGATGTAATAGAACCTTTTGTTCTATGCTGCAAAGGTGCACAAATTCATCCGGTAGCAACGGCCAGATGTGTCCACAGCCTACCTGTCGGGCCAGGCCACTGCTGACAGTTCGCCGCAATGATGGTCCAAGTTATCGGACCTAGCAACAGACACGATCAAACACAGAGTCAAGAACGAAACCAACCAACCAACCAACCAACCAACCCACCAACCGACCAACTAGTCTGCAAAACGGTTTGTCACGGCAGGTCGGTGTAAACTGAAGGTTGGAGATTCTCTGCCGTGAAGGGGGTGCTGCCAGGCCAAACCACTGTTTCCCACTCCAAGCCTGTTTGCATTTACTCCCCGACCTTTGAGGATCCCACCGGCTTTGCCTGACGGAAGGACCCGGTAGTGTGCTCGAAACCGTTTCTCTCATAGTATCCAAAGCACGGGCCAGGGCAAGGCCCCTCCAGAGAGACATGCCATGGGTTGCCAAGCGTGCACCCAGGGCCACTGGTTTTGGGCGATGACAAATCCAACGGACTGGTGTAGAACAGGCAGTCCACGTTTCGGTGTTTTGGCAGCTTGTAAACCAAAACTGGAGTTCAACGACCTCGCTGGTACCGGGAGTGTCTGATCAGTCCGGGCCATCCTTGTTCTCAGCATGCCATGGTGCGCGACAGGCGCGGCCGTTGGTCCACGCATCTTTTTGCGGCAGTGCAAGAGCCGAGCTGCACTGCTGCTGACAGCAAACAAACCTTTTTGTCAATCCCACTGCCTTTCAACATTGACTGAGAAGGAAGGGCACTTGATTCGTTGGACTGAGGCGACGGGCATGCAAAATGTGGTGTCGATGTTCAGATCCGAACCAACCGAAAGTAGCTAAGTAGCTGCTAGCTATGGCAGTCAAGCAAAAATAACACATCAAAGCTCAACTGCGAGCAAGAGGCGCACACACACACAAACGCACAAAAAGCAAAAACAAAACAAGCGCTTGGAAGATCCAGGCCGGGCCTTCCGAGGCCAAGTCTGTGACTTGACTACAGCTCTCGTGATCTCGGCAATGAGATGTCGTCTGCTTTCAGGGCAGAATTCGCGCGCACGATCTGTGCAAGATCCTGTCTGAGCTGCCCGATCTCTGACTCAACATAGACGCCGAGAAGTCCCTGGTTCTTGATGAGCCAAGATTGATCTTGAATGATTTTCGCAAGCTCCATGGCACGAGCTTGCCCACGGAGGCGAAGGCAACCCATCAAAAACTCCTCTATTTCGATAGCACCTCCTGCGTCCTGATCCAACAGCTTAAAGAAAGTCCAAGCATCCCATACCTGGGCTGTTATTGTTCTTGCTGTCGTTGTCGCTGTTGCTGTTGCTGTTTTGCTTCGTTGGTGTTGTTGTTGCTGTTGCTGTTGCTGTTGGTGTTGGTGTTGCTGTTGTTGTTGCTG